CCATTAATTCGTATATTTCTCCGCACCAGCACGGCTTTCGTAAACGGCGATCTACAGTCACCAACTTGTTAGAGTTTACCTGTCATGTTTTCAAGGCTTTTTCTAGCGGCTCTCGCACAGATGTTATTTACACTGATTTAAGCAAAGCATTTGATATGGTTAACCATAGACTACTTATTTTTAAACTCCAAGCCTCTGGTTTCCCACCCTACTTAGTGAAATGGATAAGCTCTTATCTGCACAATAGATCCTTCAGGGTTTTGTTTGAATTCCCCGTTACGTCTGGCGTACCTCAAGGAAGTCACTTAGGTCCCATTTTATTTAGTTTATACATTAATGATCTCCCATCGGTGGTTAATTCCAGCCAGATCTTAATGTATGCTGATGATGTGAAACTGTTTTCTTCCTTCTCTGTTGAATCGCAATCACATCAGCTTCAAGGTGACTTGGATAATTTTGTTGCATGGTGCTCTGTGAATCTTCTGAAACTAAATCTGAGTAAATGTAAGAAGCTTTCATTCTCAATAAGAAAGTCATTCATTACTCAGTATTTCATAGATTCGCATAAGTTGGAGGACGTCGATTCGATTACAGATTTAGGCGTTCTATTTGACCATAGGTTCGTTTTAACTTGCATATTGAGCTCTCGATTAGCAAAGCTAGGTCCGCGCTTGGTTTTATAAAAAGTTGGTCCAAAGAGCTTGATGATCCCTACATTACGAAAAGGCTGTACATGTGTTTGGTTAGACCCATACTCGAGTATGCCTCAGTTGTGTGGTCTCCTTCATATAGGTGCTACGTAGATTCAATTGAATCTGTTCAAAAGCAATTCTTGCTGTTTGCCCTTAGAAATTTGGGTTGGGATCCAATTGCCTCTCCGTATGAAAATAGGTTGCTTCTGCTGTCCCTACCGTCTCTTGAGAAACGTAGATGTGTTCTTGGCGTTTCCTTTCTAATTAAAGTAATAAATGGTGTTATTGACTCGCCTTCATTACTTGGTGAAATAAGCTTTAATGTCCCCAACCGCTTCTCCAGGCACTTTATCTTGGTTAAGCTTAATCAGTGTAAATTTAATTATGAGCTGTTCAATCCGCTCAGAGTCGTTTGCAAGAACCTAAATGACGTGTACCACGTATTCTCGTTATCGGACTCTTTAAAGTCCATTAAAGCAACATTGCTTAATACGCGCGATTTACCGATGTCGTATTTAAACTAGCTTTTATCCTTAAAAAGTCGTTACGTTTCGAAAGTGAATTATTGTCAATTTATTATAGGTTGCCAGGCTTATGCGTGGTTGCGATGGCTTAGGGATTCATTTGCAATTTGGTTCTGTACCGGTTGTAAGTGTGCCCCTATGCTGACAGTGTACATGCTCTTTTTTCTTTTTTTTTTCTTCTTATTTGTTTTATTATGCTTGTACTCAATTTTATTGTTAATTAATATAAGTTTTGCATTAAGAGCCAATTGAACTCGACTGTTATTTGTTTAGTTGAGTTTCTAGTATAAGTGGAATAAATAAAATAAATAAATAAATAAAAATTATCAGACTCTTTAAAGTCCATTAAAGCGGCATTGCTTCATGCATGTAATTTACCCATGTCGTACTTAAACTAGCTCTTAACTTTATAATGCCACGATGAGTCGAATCGGTTGCCAAGCTTATGCATGTTTGCGATGGCTTACGGGTTCATTTGCAATTTGGTCCTGCACCGGTTGTGGGTGTGGCTCTATGCTAGTTGTGTACATGCTTTTTTCTTTTTTTCCCTTCTTATTTGTGTTATTATACTTATACTAAGTTTTAATATTAATTAATTTAAGATTTAATTTGAGAGTCAATTGAAGTCGACTGCCAAATTGTTTTAGTTGAGTTTCTTGTGTAAGTAGAATAAATAAATAATAACTGCTAAAATTTAAAAGTGGGTATTTACAGAGAACAAAAAAGTGGAAGGACAGTATATTCGGGCAAGACCGACTAAAAAGATATCTACATAGTCCGAATTCGATAAGGTTACTTTCTCTATTGATTCACAATTATAAACTAATTCTCACCATCAAATATTAAAAGTTATACCTTTTTACTACATACGGATCCAGTTTTCGTAAAAACGATTTTATAAGAGAGTGTTCAAAACATTGCCCTGGCCGAAATTGAACCTGTTTTCCATTTATTTTCAATAGCGTTTGTCCTCGGGTGAAACCACGTTAGTGTAACAAATTTTATCAAAATATCTCGAAAATTGCGACATCAGACGGCGATACAGACTTAGATCGATTTAGAACCATTTTCTGATATAACGAAATGTGGATATGTCTTAAGCCCCTGTTCGCACAACTTAATATACCCTGTACCACAAGTGGTGTAAGGTTTAATAAGCGTGTTTAAGAAGTTTTAAAACTATGACGTACGCCATGATTGTGTACTCTCTGACATCTTGCTACTACTTTAACATTGGGATGCACCCACTCGTGGCATTAAACTTTACTTTTTGAGATTCTTCGGCTCTCTTATCATATTAGTTATCTTCTGGTATTTATTAGTATGTAATAGTTAGTAGATATTGTTTTTTTAATAGTTAGTGCTTATTACGTGAGAGAGCAAGAGAGAAAAGCTACTGCTACTGCTACTTACGTTTCTTTTTCTTTATTATATGTACCTCACTTATTTCGCGCGCACACAACAATTGCAAAATTATTACTGGCGTGAAGTTAGCCCACTGTATGTAGCCGACATTTTTGTCTTTGCTAAAAGTTTGGCAGTCTTCACACTTGACTCGCGCCTATGCTAATGTACCAGATAATTAAATAATATTGAAAAAATAACAAAATGATGAGAAAAACTAAACAAAAATAGAAAATGCAAATGTAAATAAAAAATAATATAAAAAAGTAAAAAAAAATTTGTTGTTACGATTTACCATATAGTTCATGTACATTACTAACGAAAACAGTTTCCTCAAGTAAGGTTTTTTGATATGTCTTAAAGGACGCTCAAACGGAATCAGAAAAACTTAATTTCATTACTATCTCAAAGGTCTGTAATCTTAATCTTAAATCTAGTCTTATCATCGTCATCTTAAACATACTTGTTGAACAGGATAAAAAACATTTACAAACACAATTAATTTAGTCTTGTTCGTGATAGACCCAGGATATGGTAATGGAATTAGGTGTTTCCGCATTTTTCACGACAAATCAAAAATCTAGAGTCGCATAATTTATCTGATAATTATTAAAATATATAATTTGGACATTGCATTCTTTCAGTATTTGCACTATAATTGCATGAGATTTAGTAGCAATAACTTTTTCGGTTTCGTGTTCGTAATTAGAGGTATAGTTTGTTTTATATATATGTGAACGTTTGCTACTATTATTTAATTTTAATACTTATTTTACATGCTTTTCATTTCGCGATAAATCGTAACATTACAAAGACATTTTTAGCGAAGACGCAAACCTGAAACAATTTCGGCTATCTTGGTGGGCTGACTTCACTTCTGTAAATTATTGCACCTTGTTCCAATTTAACAAATATCCACGGTCTCTAAAGACAGATCTCCCCTAATTACGGAACTATCTTGTCTTAGACGGCAGCGTATGTAAGCAGAATTCATATTGACCCGTAACTTAACGTAAGTTAAATTTCTGCTTAATTATGTGAATGCATTATCAGTTACTACAATCATAGAATAATTGTGTCTCTTAACTTCTTACCGTAATTCCCCTCAATAGCTGTACCCTAAAGCGATATCTTTTTCCTCGTAATTGGAATAACGCATTAACTGCACCATTTTCGTTATTTTCTCTCATATTGGTTATCGTGCATATGCTGTCTTTCTCGTGTAATTTATTTTTGTACTCATTTTACAAAATTTATTGCTATAATTTTCTTGTTATTTCGTTTCATTAAATTGCACTTATATTCAGTTAAAGTTAGCACGTTTTACGTGTCAGAACAATTTCAATTAAACTGCATTTAAATATTGTTCTTAGTTTTCATTTAAATTTTTGAAAATATGACGAATCACAACAACGATGTCGAAATTGAATGGTTAAAATCGAAAATAATTCCAAAGCTTTTAATAAGCGAAAAGCTTTCCAGCAAACTTAGTGATAATGATTTTCAAAATATTACCTTGGAAATCGAATGGTTAGATTCGAATGAGTCCTTTATGCTAACCACTTGCTATCGTGCGCATATAAAATTCGAGCATAGTAATGTTACTGAGGAACATGTACTATTTGTTAAGGTATATTTGTGAGTGAGCAATTAAAGTAATGAATATTTATTAAAGTTAATTATTTACGTGGAAAAAGCAATATTTTGCAGGAAAGTGCATTGACGATCAAAGTAATAAAATTTTCTATAAAAAATCGCAACTCTCGTATCACATGTTTTTATTTTATTTATTTTTACCCGCTGTTCTCTAGATTAGTATAAGAATGGGAATCGAAGTTGATATAACATCGACTAGGACGGTATCCGAAAACAAAAACTGAATAGATAAACAATTCTTTACTTAACTCTGGTCGATATTTTTACATATGAAATCCGCGAGTCAAAGCAAAACTAGGATGAAAGAAAAAGTAATTCGTAATAGCTCTTTACTCGTGATTTTAGATTTTATTTGCTCTTACTTCAAGGAATATCAACAAGGAAGAGGTTCACTAGTTTCTTTGCTTTACAGCACGTGTGGTACAAGCGTATATTAAATTTTTTGCGGGTTTATGGAACACCCAGAAGGACTTGAGATAAAGCTATCTTCCATTTCTAAATCGATCAAAACTACTTTTAGGAATCGATCCGTCTTATATTATCCTACTTAACCTGCACATTACAATTTTTAAGATATTTTAATGACATTTGGTACATCGACGCAGGCGAACGCTGTTGAAAATGATGCGAATCGGACCGTTCTTTCGGCCGCTTGCCATAAACGGATTTTTCAAAAAAATCGATCTGTATTAAGACTATTCTTGTAGGTTTGCTAACGCCCAAGGGCGATCGCTACTGAAAATGCATTAGATCGTTAGATTAGATTAGACCATTTTCATTACCAACTTTCCATACGAGACCTTATTTTGAAAAGATCGAAATCGATGTAAAAATTTTTGGTCGAATCGGAAAAATTAACTTTCACATGCCAAAATGGTGTAACGTTTAACTATTTCATACTAAAAGAATTTTGAAGAAGAAAATAAACCGGATCGAACCATCAGATGTGATGTCTTGTTTTGAAAAGTCCTTTTATGACTAATTCTAATAAGATAAGTGGCATAGGTATACTAAAGTGTTTTGACGCAAGGGCGAAAATATTTCGAATCGAACTACCTTTTCGGCCACTTCTCCTACAAAGCCTTATTTTGAAACGTTCTTATACGACTAACTGTATTGAGAGAGGTAGGGTAGGGTATCTAAGAATAGGTCGTGGCCTACTATTTTGTTTTTCATTTTTATTTCATTTTTATTTACTCTCTAACAGAAAACCCCCAATTTACCACAAGAAGTGTTTGATAGTATCAACTTTAAAGCCTTGTTTAATAATGAAATATTGGCCTATGAAAAAATTTTACCAGCTTTAGAAAACTTTGGTCAATGTCAACTTAATTCCGCTACTTATTATTACGGCGAACTGCTGGAAAGCTTCGCTACAGTTATACTGAAAGATTTCCATCAAGACGGCTGGTGCATCAGCAAGACTCGAGTGAATCTCTCGGTAGAACATGCGTTGTTGGCTGCACAATATTTAGGTAAATTTCATGGTTTAGGATTTGCGATGCGTGCACTAAATCGCGAGCATTTCGATGAGCTAACAAATCGCTTACGAGAATCACGTTTTGCCAGTGATGTTATCAATCCCGAATGGGCTATAACTCTCAAACAGAGCGTACAAAGAGCTTTACAGGCAACCCAGATATATCAAAGGCAAATAAACAAGGAATTTCTCGAAAAGTTCGAGAAACTCGTGGGTGATAATTATGAATACGGACGTAAAAGAGTACAACCTCGTGAACCTTACATTACCGTATGTCACGGCGACTATTTACGGAATAACGTCGCATTTAAATACAATAAAGATAAAGAGCCTCAAGATATTTTAATGTTTGATTTACAAACCTTAAGAGTGACATCACCGATGATAGATTTAACAACTTTTTTATTACTGTCTACCTATGCCGAGGTGCGTTGTAAAAAGTTTAATGAAATATTTCAAATGTATTGTATGAGGCTAAAGGAAACTTATGAAATATATGTTGGTAAACCAATACCAGAGTACTTGAGGTAAGGTTATGAGTTGCATTGGAAATATAAAATTTTTGGAATATTTATCCTTTTTTTTAGCGTCAGCTCCTTACAAAGAGAATATACGAAATTTATGCCTTATGGCATTGGAATATCTTCTGCTTTTCTACTCCATCTAGTAGAACCAATTAACTTAAGTAGTCAACAGTTTTTATCATGCAAACGGTCAAAGGAAGAGATAGTAAATGATATTATGACACGAGGAGGCATTGAAGTCGATCGGGAATTAGCTCACCAAATGAAGGAACTCCACGATCTCTGCTTGACTTTCAACTTGAAATTAGATAAGGATTTTTAAAGTGCGTTCATTTTCAATATAGAAATTATTGATGTGTACAGAAAAAGTCAAAACTAAATGAAAAAAAAATCTGAAAAACTGTGTGTCCCGAAATATCTTCGAAGGATCGAAACTTATAGACGACAATATGAAAAATTATCGTTTTTTTCGGGGTTGTTTCACCTCCTCGTTTATGGTGGACGTGTGCGCAGGCAGGTTGCAATCATTTTTTAACGTTGAAGTCCTAACCACTAACTTCTTGTGGCAAGTCGAAAAAAATAGCGAATGAAGATGATCCTTTTGGTAGAAATAGGCTATGCAAAACGTTGGTTTTTCTAGAGTTGATAAAATTATTTAATTAATTAACTTCTTAGTCGAAAGTTTTGTGCTGCTTGTACAACATATGCTACAAGTTACAGGTTGATGTTATTTGGTTAGGATTGGTCAATTTGGGATCAGATTTCGACTACATTTTCTGAATGTACTCTGAAAATTAATGTATTTTTAAATGTAAGAATTTGTGATAAGAAAATGAAAAATACTGATCATACGTGAAAGGATACTTTTTTGACGGAAGTAAAATAATAAATTCTAGATGATTCTGTTTAATTCCAAAAATTGTAATGCCCGCTTTTAGGTAGATTTGCGATCTCTGGATCGAAAAGCTACATATGAAAATCAAGGCCATTTCATCCCTTAAATGCGAAATACTTATATATCCAGGAAGTCTGCTATGCAGAGTAAGTTTTAGTTTTTTGTTTTATTGCGAACATGCTTGTTGTCTGATTAGCCGAATTTTCTCAACGAGCTTTTTCATAACTCTTAAAAATTTCAAGGCAATTGCCTCTGATTTTTAACTTACAATACTTCTGTTTCGGCACACTATGCCACGACCCTATTTTTAGATCTCATCAGTGGCTATCAAAATGAGTACATTCAGCTAATTTCATATTTGGATATTAAGTTTGCTCACCCCGAGTTAGGCTTGCCGTATCGATATTGAATTTTACAGGTATTTTGATTAGTATATAATTTCTCTCCGGAAAAACATGCTTCTATTTTTGCACAGATGAATTTTATGAAATTGAAGTATGGTATTGATTATTTTCCACGTTTTTGAAGAAAATACAGTAAATTCAAATAAGCATTAAATGAATACATATATTTGTATGGATACATAAGTATTGAAATGCAAAAGATAATATGAAAAGCACATCTTTTAAAAACGAAGTGTATAAATCATTTAGAAAAAGAACACAACAATAGATATTGTGTTAAAAATACACATAAAATAGATATTGAATCGTATCATCCAGATAATTACTAGCGCGGAAACCACCACGAACAAGAATCAATTCCATAAGTCAAAATGAGTAACGATGTGAACATAGAAATTAATAAAGAATTTTCTACGCTCAGAAAAATAACAAAGCCGATCCGTACATAAATTTATATATATGTAAAATAAACAAAAATATTTTTCGAATATAAATTCAAATGCAAAGGAAAAAGTTTGTTTGTTAAAGAACACTCATTATTAAGAGTCATGCGTTACCGCTTCTGAAGCTTTTAGAGAGAAAGTTATTTCTAAAAAAAAATTCAATAAAAAATCATTCAACTTCTTTTCATCCGTTTGTATGTGCAAGAAGCCGTGCGTATTTTATCAAAAGCCGGAGGAATTTCGATAAAAATAAAAAAAAGCTAAAGAGATTTGAATGAACATGAAAAAAGCTAAAGAGATTTCGATGAATCTGGATGAATAGTTGGACGATTTCGATGAAAATGAAAAAAAGCTCAAAAAAATTCTCCCCGTAACATTTTTATTTTGTTTATGTTTCTATGGCACATAATTCAAAATTATGTATAGATAGATTAAGTATAAATTTTTTTGAAGTTTCGTCCTACTGTATGGAATTTTTTACTAAAAACTCAGATATATGAATGGATGCATATTTATTTATTTATTTTATTAATGACATTTAAATAAAAAATTATAATGCAAATTTTCTTATATTCTTTCATGTCACATATTGTTTGGAGTTTAAGCTTTTTGAATAAATAAGCGAAGCAAACAAAGGTCCACTTGAGTTGCTCAGCACCTTGACTATTTAAAACATACAGACGATCTAACTTAATCGCCTTTGCGAAGCCTACTTCTCTGATTCCCAAAGCCCTTCTTATCTGACTTGGGTCTGTCTGTTAACTGTATAAAAGATCGTTTACCCTTGCACATTTGTCTATCCAAAGCATCCATCTTTCCCCATGATTTAAACAATTAGCGGGGAAACGGCATAACTGCATTTTGGTAGTTTGTCCTATTTTTGTGCGCAGATTATTAGTACTGCTTTTCAACAACATAATTTTGACATCCCGCCGTTTTTCCCACACCTCTGAGCAACAAAGAATTTGATTCTGCCATCTCCGTATTAGCTAGAACGAATTAGTAGCCTTCGAACGAAACAGTTAACCAATATAAAAAAGGATAGATTTATACCAGTTACAGGAACAATGCTTCGTTGAAATTTAGTCGAATTTCTTACAGAAAGGAATTTCATTACAAAGCCTAAAGCTGTTCTTAATGAGTTCGTTAATTTGTAATAAGTTCTTGAAGGAAAACGGAGATAAAGCATAGTTTAAAAAATCTGACGCAAAAAAGCAAAGTCCCGAAAATGTTGAACGAAAAGTTGAGAGAAATTTGAAATCAAATATTATGGCAGAAAGGACATAACGTTCTTTTTAGCACACGCTTGGCTTTTATTAGACAATTAAGAGACATACACACAAAGCATAAGGAAATGTTTTTATATCTGTAATGATTCTTTATAGATTGAAAATCCTTATCCTTAAAAAAAAGACATTGAACACAGGCTATCGGCTCTAACTTATGCAAATGTACATTAGATATTGAGCCTAGTAGTTTTGATAAAGTAATATATTGAATTGATATTCTGTTCCGAAGCTGATTTTAGAATGTCCGTAGGGTTAATCGTTCCAAATGTAATACTTCTAGCCAAGGAAAAGTTAAGGCAGTCACAGCGAATGTGCTTTATAGTATGAATTTGTCCACAATCGCAGATTGGGGAGGAAGGCTTCTTTAAGATCCATTGGTGAGTTGAAATTGTATGACCAAGGCGAATTCTCGACAATCAGTTGGATCTTGATTTTCTCAACATTTGTAGGATATAAAGGTGGAGTTAATTGAGGGTTAATAAAAGAGTAGTGCTGACGATGGCATTGTAGATTTCCTTCTGTAATTTTCTCTTTAACTTTTCCTCCGATGTATCTTTGAAGGTCCAACTTTTTCACGACATCATCCGTAACTAGAGGAGCAGAAACAGCATATTTAGCCGCTCGATCAGCCCGCTCATTTTCCAATAAACTGATATGACTAGGTACCCATGACATTTTAATTTTTCCACCGGGTGTAGTAATAATATTTCTTAATTTGTTGATGGTGCTCCATCTCGAAGACGAAGGATTCCGTATAGCTTGTAATAGTGTCAGTAACAATGACAGTTTTGAATTTGTTTTTAGGGAAAAGGTTCGTAGCGTGAAGGATAACTCTGGCTTCGGTTGTGAATGTTGAAGTATTTTCTCGAAATATGTGATTGAGAAGAACCTGTCCTGAAGCATCTACCGCGGCACAAGCAGGAGGCAGACCAGAAGATTCTGAGCTGTCTGTGTATAAAAGATTCCAACCAGTATTGTCCAATACTTGGGTTTTCTCAGCTATTAGATTCCTGAAGACATAATTTGGAGTATCTTCTTTCTTGTGCGTTGATAGCGAAACCCCAAAACAGCAATCTTTCAAAATCCGTGGAGGTTTAACACCAAAACAACGGAAAATTTTTAAAGGAATGTCTAATTGTTTTACGACATACAAACAGTAGTCAATTGCACATAGTGACTTTTGAATTTTCTTCGCAATAATAATCTTTCTCACGTCATCACCGAGAATAGTTTTGTTTGAATTAAGAAGCTTGGGGACTATTTCAGCTTTTAACTCATAAAGTCTATTTTCTAAAGTTGGGAGACCAGTTTCAATTATAATATTATTTATGGGCATCGTCCGAAAAGCATAACGACTTGCTCTAACGGCTTGGTGATAGACCGGTTTAAGGATGTTGATATTAGATTTGCAGCTATTGCCATAAATTATCAAAGCATAGTCAATCTTGATTAACACAAGCATTTTGGTAAGATAAGCAATAGTGTTAATATGCGCATGGCTTCTCCAAGCAACGTACTGTATGAAATTCACCCTTGTTAAAATAGAATTTTTTAACCGAAGACAGTGTGCTTTCCAACGATATTTGTTCGAAAAAGTGAGCCCGAGAATATGGAGTGTCTGCACGTTTAGTACTGGTAAGTCCTTAATATGCATCAGTAGATTTCCTGCATCGGAAATCTGCTTTCGCCAAATGTGCATTTTTTCAGATTTTTGTATGGAAATTCTAGTTTCTGACGAGGAGATCTCTCGTCTAATAGATTCGAGGATGTTGATTGCCTTCGTGCTATCTTTTTCTTTTGTAAAAATGTATACATCGTCCGCGTAGAGACAATGTTCGATTCTCGGTACACGGCAAAGGATTTTGCTAATTTGAAGGCGATCTGGAAAAGCGCGATAGAAGGAGGAGATCCGTGCGGAATGTCATTCTTTAGGAAAGGAGTCGGAGAGATGATTATAACTTTAAACCGCCGATGCGACATGAATGATTTGATGTAGTTGAAGAATTTGGGTCCAACGTTCCGTGATTTCAAGAGTCTTAAAACAACATAAAGACCAACTCTGTCAAATGCTTTTCCGAAACATGATTCCGTTCGGAAATTGCGTCGCTTGTAAAATAATCATTATGTAAAAGAGCTTCGATGCACCCTCTACCCCGCTTGAAACCAACTTGTTGCTTTGTTATCAGGTTCTTGGACTCAAGAAGCCAAGATAATCTAGATGCCATAATCTTTTCCAATACCTTTGAGAGCCAAGATAATAGAGAGATTGGGCGATAATCCGAAGCAATGGACGCATTTTTTGGAATTTGGAATTGGAACAATTGCTGCCAATTTCCATATTTAGGGCATATGGCCAGTCAAAAATACCGTATTACATAGGTCCAGTAATTTATTTTTACTTGAATTAGACAGAGCACTGATCGTTTGGTAGGAGATGCAGTCTAGACCAGGTGTCCTCCCATTCGATTTGGCAGGACAACTTTCAAGTTCTAAGTACATAGAATAAATTGTAGAGTTCTTGTTGAGTAAACGATTGTGAAGATGGGATATAGAGCGAAAGCTCTGTAAATTTTATGTTTAAGATTATTGTATCGTTACAAAAACACCAACTCCTTGTTTGGAATATGAATGAATTTTGAACAGCATTCGTGAAGTATCCAGTATAATTTTAAAAACTTTATTTTATTGTAGTGACATGTAAATGGAATGGTAGGTGAATTAAGTTGACATGTCAGCGTCTCCGTCAAAAAGGTCGCTATAGGAATTTTGCGTGAAGAAATTGTTCTTACCAGCAAAGTAATCTGTACTTAGATGGTTGCGTACATTTGAAGTGCAACGAGTGGGCACACGGGAATAATTTGAAATTGAAGGTTGATTAAGGGATGAAAGATTGGATTCATTTCAACTTGTAATTTGTTGAGTAGAGTTGAGAACTGGTGATTCAGGGGAATTTAGATTATTAGATTTTGGCATATGTGTTGTTGTTTTACTTTTCTCAATATTTGGTGTTGTTTTGATTTTTTCAATATTATCTTTGGCGGGTAATGGAACTGGTTTTGCAATGTAACTTTTGGTTGATGTTGAACAGGTTTTTCATTGGAAGGAGTTGGAGTTAAAGACTTATTAGGCTCGATTTGCTAGGCGACAGCAACATAGGTATTACTTTTATTAATTTTTTGGGTTCCAGATGGATTAATTCCCGGTGTCCGCCATAATCAGGAAAAGCACGAGCGAAATACACAACTGAAAAGGCACGAGCTAAATACGCAAAAAACACCGAAAACAATTAAAAAATCGAAGACGAAAAAGAAAATACGCACTACTCAGAATACAAGTCGACTCGAATTTTGATCTTTCATGCAAATATGAAGATTAATGGATATACAAATAGACATAATATTTGCCTTTTTATGTTTCTTTATTTAGCGTTAAAATTTCTAAACAAGAGAAAGAAAGAGAAAAGAAATTGGAATTCATGTGATGATAAATTTATCAAGTAAAAGAAACGACGATAATTATTAAGGAAAGTCTCAATGGGGACGAGATGGGGAACGGGTGAATGAACGCGTGACGTAACCTTAGTAATATAAGTAAACTTAATTAATCGTAGATACTAAAAGCTAATCAACGATTCTACCTCCCTCTAAGTTACCGTCCATTAATATATTGAAATCCGTTAGCGCTTGGTGTCTGCGTCCAACAGTTGGTGTCTGCGTCCCTTCTGCACAAGATAAACATTTATCACATAATGATGGAGCTCGACGACAATATTTTTTTCTATATTGCTTACCACTCACTACTCTGAATAAAGATTTCAGTAGCAACAATACAAACATCCTCAAAACCATCATCTTCATCCACGCCTTCTTTAAGCTCCTCTTTAATCTTTACGTTCTTATATGACGTTTGAGAGCTTTCCTCTCCAGTGACAAGATCTTTTTCCTCTGTGTCTAAATCTTGGATGTTATATTCCCTTTTCTTATCCATTAACTTACAAATAGTTTTTCGATGATGTCTATGGGTTAGGTTTCCGTCAGCTTAACAGCATCTTTAATGTGAATAATAAGTTGCTTGGCTTAGTTTTTTTTTGGGATACTAATATATTTTTATCGCCAACTGAACGCTCTGTTTCACCTGAACATAGGCATTATCCATCGTTGTTGCTGTTTGTTAAATGTCTATTTAGTTGCTGTGTTTCACTTTATCGATAATTTCCTACTGCCTACTTTTCACTATTGTTTATAATTAGGTAATGTAGATTATTGATTACAGTTACAGTTGTGCTAAACTAGGTTATTATAATTAGGGTAGAATTTTGTAATATGTACAGCTTACGTAAATTAAACTAAATAGCAATAAGTAAAATAAAATAAAATGAATCAAAGCAATAATGCTACAGCTGTCCGTAAGTTATTTAGCTGACAAAGGACCATGCAATCAAATGACCATAAGTACTCAGCGTTTATTATATCAAACTTAGGAACTTCCTTGATGGCATTACGCTCTGAAGAGATTGATGAATCATTATGTTTTATTTACAGTTAGCTTCTTTCCGCAATTTCCGCCTCAGTATCATTTTAGTCTTGTCACACTTCAGAGTCTTCTGTATGGTAAACCAAGCATTTACGGATGGTCCGTAATAAAAAAGTAAGCCATTTAAAAAATTTGGGGTGGTTTGATTAGAGATTATATATTATACTCTAGCGCTAGACGGAGTTATAACTTCCTCAAAGCAGCTTGTCATTGTTGAAGCAACCAGACGCAAATTTCTTAAAAATCTTAAGAGCTTTGGTAAATTCGTAAATTCTAAACGAAAAGTAAAAGGATTTACTGAAGGATTCCAACTGACCTTTTTGTAGATTTTTGTAGGGAAAATTATTAATGTTCAAATGTTTCGTTTGCTAATTGCCCTTATTCGTTAAGCTCTTTTAATATTATTCCAATTATGCCATTCTCAGAAGATGAAATGTTTATTCCATTGTCAACGTTGAAACATTGTAATTACCCTGATCCTGATGACGTTTCGTGTTGCAATGTATGAAATATAATTTGGGGCCCGTACATTACTGTACCAATTAAAGATAAACTGTGAATGTTGAAAACGATAGGTCCTCCACCCCAAGTTAGCATTGGCCCACAAATATTAAATAGATTTAATTAATTACATTTCAACGCGTATGCATATAGAGCATTGCTGATGCTTGGCGATGAAGGAGGCGACGATATGGTTGTGCTGTCAAATGAAGAGCCAAGGGCCAAGACGACGGTGAAAAATTTGGGAAACTGGGACGTCTACTTCAAATCAATAATGGTCTACTGAAAGCGATACACGTTCGCCTACAAAGTCTGATAAGAAACGCCCGCATATGAAAATAAAAATGCCGACTCCAAAACGACAAATAAAGCCTGAGCTTTATTACTGAAAGGAACATAAGCGCATTCGTGGGAATTGGAATTGCTTTTTTACATTTGAAGAACAATTAACATGTAAGACAGATTTTACTACCGATATCGGCTTTCTTGTCATATGGTAACAAGTATAGGCTTTGCCTGTAATTGGCCATTTTCGTAAGGGAAGGAATTTTCACTTTCGTTTCTTTGAACAGTTCTAATTTCATACATGTTTGTATGCGCAACTTACTAATATTATATATAATTATTACTAAGTTAACATTGGAGGTCCGATCGTATTGCTGAAACTGAAGCTTCTGGAACGGTGCGAAATGAACGCAAAAAATTGCTAGCTTGACAAAGAGTGAAAGCTGGATTACAAACAAACATTGACGTTTATTGTCGCAAAACTATGCTAATAATAACTTTTGATATACTCATCCGTACTCTTGTCCAACATATGAAATAAACAACCCAATTCACAAGTCAGGCAAAAGTCTTTAGCGCAGCTATTTTCGATGAAGTTCTGACTTAAAGATTGTATAAACTTGTTCGAAGGCTCGCGCCACCAAACCAGTTTTCTTATTCTATTAGAAATTTTTGCTAATTTAAATTTACTGTATGTTTATTTATAAAACTTCTTAAATTTATAAACAATGTAAAGAAAAAACCAGCTAACTGCTTTTAGAGAAAAATCAAAACCATTTCACAAGTGCAAAAAGAAATTTGACAAAATGAAAAAAAGATTCTTCATGTAACAATTTATCGAAAATACTTTTTTTACTTACGTTTACCACAAATACGCGATGACACACTATAAAAGAGCCAAGAGGCTGATTGCTATAACGTCAGGTCACGATATTTAAATGGATATTTACAAATCTCTAAAATAGGGAAACAGTTTCGGTAACAAAGCATTTTCACCATGAAACAAAATTTACTCGCAGGTGTGATTGATTAATTCGTCTACTACTAAGCCGTCGTCAAGCTGTAAAAAAGAAGCATCTTTTTTATTTCCTTTGAAACAAACCTCCGGCTGCAGTGCCTGTTAAACGCTTCAACAATTCGGTCTCAAGAGTGTGAAGCCACACTTGCGCCCGTTTAAATTGAAATGGAAATAAATGCCAGCATTCGACCAATTAACGACGATGTTTACAATGTTCACAAAAAAGAATCCCTGCAACATTTATTCTCATGAGTAATACAGCAATTTAAACTATTTATCAATTTTTTATTATTTAGAAAGCAGCCTCTAATGCACATTATTATTAGATTTGCAACATATTGAAGCCAGCTATGTGATGAAGAGATGGTGGAGGGAAAAGTGAGACAATTTGAATTAGAGAATTAAGAACAATAATAGAAAAATTTGAAAAAAGTCCAAGTAAAATAAATAAATAAATTGATATTTGTTACCTTTTCTAATTTTCGTTTTATTTGCTTTTTGTATAAGATAAGGAAAATTTATTTAATCAGAAAATAACCCTACAGGTGTTTTGAGCAAAAAATTTTGTGGAAACGTGTCAAATATAAATAAAAATGTTGGGGACAAAACTATACCAACTACTGCCGAATAAAAAAAGAACAAGAGAAATATATAATATTCAATATTATTATTGAATATTATATATATTATTATTGAATATTATATATTCAATATTATTATTGAATATTATATATTCAATATTATTATTATTAATATTCAAATAATATATAATATACAATTTTTCATAAAGGCGCCGCGCTTTTCTTCGTTTTTAACGTTCTCATTTATTCACAGAACTCATTTTAACAACTTTGCTTAAAAAAGACCGTTAACATAGTTGTCTTGCGTTCCTTAATACAACTTTTCTTTCAGATTATATAATTTTAAAGCCTTCATGTATTGAATTCTCCTTTATATTAAAATTAAAAAACATTTCTCGTCTGCTTCCATCTGTACGAAGAATTAAAATGTGGAATTATATGGCGCGCTTAACAGGACCGCGGAAAAAGATTATCTTTATCCGAGTCCCGCGATGGTTGTCCTACTTAATAAAGAAAGCATTATTAGACGGCATTCAATAGTACACGCCCAAAATATGTATTCAGAAATTCATTTAATTCATTCATGCTATAATTTTTTTTTTTAAATCACTTTATTATGTTTCTTCACCATGTTGAAAAATCGCCGAAACCCACTTTGCTTGAAGATTTTCTATACATCGATCCGTTAAAGATTATTGTGCTCCGTTCTGATTCTCTTAATGAAGCCTTACTTGCTTGCAAATTTAAATATTTACCAACACCTTGTCGGTAAACCTTAAGAGATTCATTTAGAGGTTTTTGACTTTTATGTTTATTTGCAACATTTTCTTGTTTTTCAACTTCTTCTGCTCTTTCTTTGCTCAATAGTTCGACAGCTTCTTTAAAAGGATCGACAAATACTTGAGCTGATTCTATAATAATATCCTCAATGGGACAATCCCTGTTGTCTACCTCAATCTGTTCCATTTTCTGTAAAGTTTCGATGCCGCCCACCAGTTTACCGAATACAGTATGCTTTCCATCTAAATGCTTGCAAGAGCGGTAAGTTATGAAGCTAGAAATATAAAAAATATAAACTACTTAAAAAAAAAATATTTTTTCATGCACTTACAACTGCGATCCATTTGAATTCGGCCCCGAATTCGCCATTGATAAAATTCCTCTGCCGGAATGACTTAAATTCGTTTTAAATTCATCGTCAAATTTTTTTGCCCATATTGAAGTACCACCGGTCCCTGTGCCCGTTGGATCACCTCCTTGTATCTAAAACCGCACAATTAAACAATCTTTGAAAACTTCTTGCAAGAAACTTTAAAAAATACTACCATAAAATTTCTGATTGAACGATGAAATCTCGTCCTTGTGTAATAATTATCGCTACAATGTTTTATAAAATTCTCACAAGCTCGTGGCACCAAATCGCAATGCAATTCCAAGTTCAATGGACCGAAGTTGGTAACCAAACGCACATAACCCTTCTTCTTAACACGTTCGTATTTAATCTCATCTTCATCTATTATGGCAGGCTCATGAGTGTAAACAGGCGCCATGGCTGTGGAAGTGAAACTTGCCGCTACGGCTCCTGTTGAATAATGAGCAGCGTTAAATTTATCTGCCGCTGGCTTGGAAACATTTGGTTTCTCTTCAACCGCCTTGTAATCTTTTTCCAATTGAGCTAACGTTTCTCTGGTTTCCATATTCATAGATTTAATTTTCTTTGTAGGATCTTTGCGTTCCAGTTCTTCTTCGTCAGTTAGAACGCGCAAATTTTTCTTGACATGATGAAATTTAGATATGTCAAATTTCTCCACATTTTGAGGATTTTGTATAGTTATAATATCTTTGCGTTGAAATGGTGTGTCGTCCACTAAATCTTTCCAATTTTTCGTTTTTATATTCAACTGCTCTATGGCTTCCCAGCAATATACATTTCCGGTTGTAGCTACAGCTACAATTTGAGAATTTTTCGTAAATGGTTTAAACAAGGCGGGGCAGTGATATTCTTCTTCTGCGTTCTTATGAAACTTTAACTTTATCAACGTTTTCGTATCGGTTGGTTTACCCGTTATTGGATTTATTTTGAACTTTTTAATGAAATTATGTACAGCTTCCAACTCAAATATGTTACCTTCTCCGTCACAATAAGGCAGCTTAAACGGCTTTAATGTTATACAGCAATGATCAAAAGGAAGACGTTTAAATTTGATATGCTCATTTTCTGCTGATTCAAACTTCTTTCCACCATATAATTCCGTCCACTCTGTGTAGGTTAAATACCTATATAAGCATTTGATAGAAATTCGAGAGTACAAACATATATGCAAGGCCAACGTTTGAAAAATTTTTACATACATTTTATCTTTCTGATGTTGTCTTTTACCCATTTTGACGATTTTTTGTATTAATACTATTGAATATTATTTCGTGACTTCTTTTGATATTTTTACTACGACTTGCATATTCTTCTTCTTTCATTTATTAATGCCATTCACGCTAAGTTAATATAACACATTTTTTTTTATTAAACCAGAGACGTGTGCGTGTAAGCAAAACAATTCAATCCCCCTCGATTCACAATCATCTGAGAGTAGCGAAAAAAAATGTATGTCATATGTATGTTTTTAAAAAGAAGTAGTCGCCACCAGTATTCTATCTTGTTACCATTATTCCATATTCCAAATTTTTGCGTATATTTGGCATGCACGTGCTAGTGTTTACATTTTAAAAATGAGAACTCATACAGTTGTTGTTGTAAATTATAAAATATGTTCTATCAGTAATTTAGGACATATAAGCCACAAATCTATTGGCTTAGTCCATCTCCGTTCAATATACCAAAAAAAAAAAAAAAAAAAAATATCAGTAATTTAAAAGCCTGCAATAAAAACATTAACTCATCAAATGGCAAGGAAAATTATAGACGATAAGAATAAACATCAGCAGTTAATTTTTTAATTTTAGCAAGTTAGTTTAAATAAGACATAGGCAAGTTTTAGGAAAATTCAAAGTTCTGAACTTCTGGCCATCAGACAAGCAGTCCTCTTTGCAATTGAGAATAAATTTACTGATGCTAATCAAGAATAAGGATCCTTACAACATGTACGTTTTTAAAATTCACAACCTCTTAAAAGACCCAAGCATCGAAGAATGCCACCTAATCTGGATCCCAGGTCACACTAGTTTTGCTATCAACGAAAGAGCAGATTTCTTTGCACTTGGAGCACAGTTTGATGGCACGGCTTTGTCCATTAACTACCTTCCCAGTGAGGCTCTCCTGCTGATCCATAAACTTATCTTAAAAGAATGGAAAGACGAGTATCCTTTTTTAGCTAGAGAGAAAATTGTCTGGCTTTTTTACAAAATTTACCCTTTTTGGACACCCAAACTTTTACCTAAAGGAAAATTTGCAACATAGGAATTTAAAATACTTCATAGACTTATGACAAGGTATATTCAAAATGATTAAAGTCTCTTCCACCGATAATTGCGACGAATGTAACATTACTGAATCTGCCGAACATCTAATTTTTGAGTGCAGAAGATTTGATATCATTACACAATCTTTCAATATATTTAGCCTATACAACAATTCATGCAAAATTTTTCCTGCTAGAAACTTTGTGCATCTTAAGCAGCTGACTGCCTTAATCAAATCAGCTGATTTCTCTTTCTAATTTTCTATACTCATAATTTTTCTCATAAACACAGATAACCCTTACTTTTTTCTTTTCCGGCATTATTAGCGGGAATTTAGACTGTACAGTACCTTGCGGAGGCTTATGGGGACAACTGCGGAGCAGCACATAACCTGTTTAACAAGCATAAGCAGCACATTTAAAAAAAAAAGAGAGCGCTCATTTTACGTTTCGGAAAAATATAAAAATATCATCAATTGTTCCTTTTTCATGTTACTGGATTATGGATCTAAATTGAATCAAACAGGCCTAATCTATATACAAACAAACAAAAAATAAAAAAAATCCATGGGCATGTCGCGCGTATTAAGCATATTTGTTTTGATGGAAATTAAAGACCCCGATATTGAAATTAATGTTACCAAATTATTTAAGTCAATTTGAAGCTGACACGATTACGATTCAAAGGAGAAAGAAGAAAATTGCTCAACACCGTCGGCGTACATTAATAAGGGGATCATTAATGTATAGATTAAAGCAAAAGGGTCCTAAAGGACGCCAGATGTCACGGAAAATTCATCCGAGGTGATGAAGTTAAGCAGTACTCTAAATGACCTGTTATAAAGTTGTACGTACAAAAAAAAAAAATTGTTTAATGTTAAGAAAAAATAACACATAAGAAATGTCTATTATTGATCCGATGTCTTAGGGGTACCACGCACAAACCCAAGTTAAGAAACACAGTGTGAAGAGGAGAGCTCTTTTAACGTTTTATTGTTCTTTTCGGGTTTTCCACTTCTTCAGGGAACTTATCAGTTTTTACGTTGCGTAGAACCGAAAGTAACCATTTTTCCTCACATTTATTTTCAATAGTTTAATAATTTTCTTCAAAATAAATTTATAGATTTTTCTAACTTGTTTCGGATTTTTCACTTCTTCAGGGAACTTTTCAATTTTTACTTTGGGTAGAACCGAAAGTAACCATTTTTCCTCAGATTTATTTTCAATAGTTTAATAATTTTCTTCAAAATAAATTTATAGATTTTTCTAACTTGTTTTATAAACAAGATTAACTGTTGTATCTCGCGGTGCAGTCTTTATAAAAACATGGCTTAAAATGTCTAAGAGTATTATTTGTGTGTTAATATAATTATATAAACATTTCACTTTTTTTTGTTAGAAAGCAAACAGATCAGCACCACATTTTTTTTTCTGTTTTTCTTTTATAGCGATTCAGCGAATATCCCGCCGGAATTTTATATATTTTTTCCCCAAAATCAAACCGAACTTCCGTCTCCATCAAAAACTATTTTTTTTTTTCACAAAAAAAAACCTTTTTTCTTCTTTTTTTCTTTGTTTCTTCTCTTTTTATAAACTACAGTGTCTATTACAAGCTTATCTATTTCGCTTAGTACAAAAGGAAGCAAGAGTTTGGAGATCAATAAGTTAAAGTGAACTAAGTCAAACGCTTTACTAAGATCAGTATATACGACATCCATTCGATAGCCACTAAAAAAAACCATGGAAACATGGCAAGTAAACTCCAGGAGATTCGTAATAGTGGAGCTGCCTTTTAAGCAACCACGCTGGAATGAAGAAATGTAAGCAAAAACTAAATGCTGAGTAACACTTCACTCAAACAATTTAGGCACGACACTCAACTTGGCAATCCATCTATAGTTTTTGATGTGATGTCTGTTTGCACAACTGAGACGTGGAATAAGGAAACTACTCATCTAACATAAAGGGGAAACAATTGATTTCAAGGACTGACTGAAATTCTCTGAAACAACAATACATAGCTTGGAATGGAATGCCATCAGGTCCAGGCTCACAATTTTGCAGACCTCAAATCATGGAAAACGCAGTTTTCTGAAATAACCATGTTAGGAATCGAAACCGAGTTTGTTATCAAATAGAGATAGTTAACAATTATATCAGAATCAGCACTTGAAAAAATTCGTTGGAAATATTCAACAAACGGAGTTGAGGGTTCGTCATCACCAGAGGAATCGGAGCCATTGAAAGATACATGCGAAGGATAGATGGAGATTTTTCCTTTGGAGTTTGTCACGTCCGCGTATATTTGGGGTGTAGCGGTTCCGCTGCTCTATCCCAATAGACTATGTAAATTCATAATAGCGGCTTACTGTTATGAAGAACCTTTATATGAAAAGAAAAAAGTCCAAAGTCTGTCTGTGTAACGTGAGAATGTTTTTTTTTCGAATATTTGCTCTTGTTGTTTTTTTTTTTTCTTAAGAAGAAGAAAAAAAGGGGAGTTAAGAGATCAGAAAAAGCAGGCGTGTTGTTTTAAAAAATTCTGAAAGTTTAATGTAAAATACTGGAATTTCACTTTGTACATAAGAAATGCTTTCTTTTTTTTTATGTCAAAAAATAACGCATGGCTGAGTGTCTAAATGCAACGGAGTTGTAATAGAAAAAAAATAATAGAAAAAAAAAAAACACAAAGCAAAGCAACGTGAAATTTAAACAATAAACAAAAGGAAAAACATTAACTACAATATTCATAATATCTTTATGTACGGAGTTTTGGATCCAGAAGTGTTTCAAAATAAAATTCCATTATCAGGGCCGAAGAATGTAAAATGAATTTCAATCAAGGTCTTACGCAATAAATAGCATGAAATCAAAAAAAGTACCTGAACAATAAAACCAAGAAACGCTTTTATTTATGTACACATATGAAATGAATGTAATTTATGTTTAGTTTTAACCGAGTGTTTTAACGCGACTTGTAAATAAAAATAGATGTAAATTCGAATTGGTTCGGAAGAGTATAAAGAGGAAAAAAAGTAAAACGTTTTCTAATTTTTTGGCCAAAATACTGGCATTGTCCGCTGTTGATATACCGTTTTGATGGCCAGTTTGCATCGTTACTTATCGATCATACCGTTGGCATTGGCACATCTTCGACAACTTTCTTTTTACCGATATTTGGTGGGAAAAAAATGATGAATGGTGCCTGCAAAAGTGGATTATCATCGAGCTGAGAGTCCTAAGGAGCGTATTGATCATCGCGTTGTTTTCTATTTGCGGAATGGTATTTGATGGGTTACGATACGGAAAGCATTGAGAGTGTGCCAGCATCTTTCACAATCGAGTCCTCGACTGACTGTACCGTAAATGGGATGTTTGAGTTTGTAATAGATTTTTTTATACATTGATATTTATGTAGCTTTCAGGTTAATGTCTATTATTTGCGTGTTTGTTTGCATATATGATTAAGCAAATATAAATATTGTCGAAACTAGTTTTATGTGTCAAAAAAAAAAAGGGAAACAAAAAAAAAAGGAAGTTAATACACAAATTATGTATGAATAGAAATTATATATTTTCTTTATTGATCAACTACAAAAAAAAGAAAAGATAAAAAATGATAAACTAAGCGTTCTGCAACTACCTCTGAGACGGAGCAGGCGTGGGTGTGCGTGTGGGTGAGACTAAGTGACCGGGAATTCGGAGTAAAGAACAAATAATGAACTGACGGACATCGAACAATATAGAAAACGGACCTTATAGACAGACTTACAGCATGTTTCAGGTTATGTTCTGTGAGTAGTAACACTTTTTAAGGAAAAATACGTCATACATGCGACTGAGCATAGCTAGACCAAATCATAAAACTCTATCCAACTCTATCATGTGTGGCAAGTTAAAAAACTTAAAAAGAATATTTAGCGTTAACAAGCAGCGAAGATTTTATCAACTAAGGGTATCTGCTATAATATTGGCGGTTGTGGTAATTAAATCTATGCCTTGCAGCAGAATAAACCTATCAATTCTTAAACCTTTCTGGTCTGTTCTCGGTGCTAGAGATTTCATTAAAGATAACGATTTAAAAAAGAAAAATCGTAAAACTTATATGCCGAGATTCTTTAC